CAGGGCTGGCCGGGGGAAGGGAGGGAGGCCCTGGCCAGCAGCCAGCAGCTGCTAGGGATCCTACCAGTGCACGAATTTCATGCACTGGGCCTCTAGTTTATAATATTTTAAAACCTATTCTGGGTCATTTTAAATTCAAGATTTCCTGATTTCTATTGTGTGATGGATGCTTGGGACAATAAAATCTCCACAGATCTACAGACTCTATTTTGATGTACATAACTGGAATAGAGTTTAATAGACTCTGCTCTTCTGGGGGAGATGGGGAGATAAGGTCTTATATCTGCACCATGATCTATTTTCTATTAGTCTTTTCCTTATTTGCTCTAAAAGTCATCTGTGCAGGAGCCCAATAAATATCTGAAAGTACACATTTATCTTTTATGAAGGGGAGTTGAAAGCAAACATCAGGAGTCTAGCATTTTTTTTAAAAAGTCATTCTGTATCAGTTCAAGGATATTAAGTATTTAGCCATTTTAGCAGCACACCCTGGCTTTTGTACTGTGTTTTTAAAGTCAGGTTGGAGTCACATGAACACACTGATTGCTAATGAATAGAAACAGACACAAAAGATGAGTTCTACTATGTGTAAATGTCCTCAATGGATTCTAAAAAAGGTTAAGTCTAGTACCAATTCAGAGGAAGGTAATTTTATTATGATCAATTAAAAACAGTTGTTACTAATAATGATTAGGTATTTTTGACTAAGGTTGTTTAGCTGATGTTCTTGAAATTTCATTTTAGGAGTAAGTATCTACTCAGCAACCTAATAATTGATCCCTTGGATTAAATATTTAAGAACTCCTTTTTTTCTGGTTGAATTTATTTCAATGTACTATTTTCTGCCTTTCCTTTACCCTCATGTCTACTTTAGCAGCAATGTCTGTTAGTTTGTCTCCATTATAGCTCATGTCCACACACTTATCTCAACTTCAAACCATTACCTCCCTCCCCGCCCCCGGACCACTGTGATACTGTCCTAACTGGATTCCTGTTTCCACTCCTGCCTCTCTACTACCTGTCATCCATGCCACAGCCAGTCACTCTTTGAAAAAGAAAATCAGTTCAGTCTGCTCCCTTGCTTACAGACTTTAGTTTTTCAATTGGGGTCTTTGATTTGACCCTTATTAACTTCTCCAACTTCATCTCATGATTTGATTAATGAAACTCTCTCTCTCTCTCTCTCTCTCTCTCTCTCTCTCTCTCTCTCACACACACACACACACACACACACACACCACACTTTTGTGCAAAGGAGGCACAAACATACTTCACTAGCATAAACACAGAAAATATAAAATAGGGTTCAACAAGCAGAGGGGTAGCAGGGTGTACACCATCCCCTGTGCACTACTGATCCCACTGTGTATTTGGACTACACCCACACTAGCCAGCATTTCAGTGTAGAGGGACCCACTTCTGTAATTCTTTAAGGGGTCAGCAAACTTTTTCTAAATATTTTAGGCTTGCAGACTATAGTCTCTGCTACTGACCTCTGCCGTTGTGTGAAAGCAGCCATAGACAATTGAATGCACATGGCTGTGCTCCAATTAACCTTTATGTCCACTGAAATTTGAATTTCATATAACTTACATGTGTTGCAGAATGTTAATCTTATATCGCTTTTTAAATTTAAAATGGCAGAAGTTTTAGTTCACTGGCCATAAAAAAACAGGGAGCTGGCCAGATTTGTTCCACTGGCCATAATTTACTGAGCACAGCCCTACACATTTATAGGGACAGGAAAGCAAGGGCCATCTATTTAACGGTGGAACCATGGCAGCTTCTTGGTCTAGCAAGTGACCTTATCAGAAATTGAGGAGACCTCTAGAGGCCAGCAGCTGGAATCAGCCTGTTTGCTGAGTTAACAGAACTTTGGGGCCAGATTTCCACTAAATTACAAAAATAATTTCCCAAAGTCATCAGGATTTACCTCTTTCTCTCTCTGTTTTTGCACACACACACACACACACACACACACACACACACACACACACACTCACACACACACACTCACATCTTCCCTCCTCCACACAGTACTTCAGTGATATAACATTGGCCTTCTTTCAGTTTTTAGAAACAGCCTAACTTAGGGTCTTTGTTCTTGTTGTCCTTCATGTTCACTTGTTGTCCCCAGTGCTCAGCACAGTTTGAGGAAAATACTAGGAATTTTGTAAGTATTTATCAAAGAAACAATTGTCTAACAGTTTATAAAGATAGAAAATATAGATAGATAATAGATACTTGCCAATTACTTCATTTGAACTTCAGAAAACCTGAGATGTGAAATTTTAGGAAATGAAACATACAAAACATACAAGAAAGGCTCCAAATAACATGAAGCTACCAGAGTGTTGGCCCGGACTTGAGAGGAATTCCATGGAAAGAAAGTAACGGGAGATCAAATGTTCTGGGTGGTAGGACATGTCCCACCCCACCCAGATGTTACCTCTCTGACTGCTAAAGATAATTATGGTCCCCCAGCTCTGGATGTTGAAATAGGAGAGAGAGCAGGATGGACAAATTTGTTTCAGCATTGCAACAAATTTGCTTAGTGGTGCTAGTGGAGTCCTTAAATCTCTATAAGAGTTGTTTTCTTTCTATGAAAAGGGAGTAGGATTGTATGATTTTTGATCACTTTTCATTATAAAATGCTTTAATCCCACTGCAAGTATATCACAATACTCATGATATCAAGACTTTAACAAATCTAGAGGTGATCTTGTAGTTACATTGATCTCTCAGATGAAAACATCAGTTGGATAGCTTGTCACTTATACATGAAGCCCAAAGATTCTGCCAACTCCCTCTAGGCAATTCTTCAACTTTCAGAGTCTGACAAAGCTGCCTTACATAAGAAGCAGTGTGTGAAAAACGATTCTCTGTGTGCCATCATCATTTAATGCTTGACCTAACAGAATTGACAGTGGGTGAAAAAAATTTCTAACAAGAAGTGTTACTCACCTTTTATTATCTGGTTCCCGTGTACAGAAGCAGCAGTGGTGTGTACTAGGCACAAAGGTAAGCTGGCGTTGTCCACAGTGACAGGTCTGAGTCAGCTACCGAAAGCACTGTGGCAGAGTGAGAGTGTGGACGCAGTGGCGTCCCAGCTGTGTTTATGCATACGGAATGCTTTGCTGAGTTACTTAACAAAGCCAAACAAAATAAACTACACCCTCACCCCCATTATATCTTGGAAAGGTGGAAGTAGATCCAATCAGGTTAGCTGGTCCTGAGCTATAATATATAAGATGAGAGAAAGGCATTTCTTTGATACTTTAATTTTTTCCCCCCAAAGCTGGTCTAAGAAGGCACAATGGTGTGGAAGTATGAGTGGCCTGCTCTCACAGCAGCACATCTGCCTGCTTTATTCCATTTGGACAGGTGGTTTTCACACCTGCCCCATGTCTGCAAAGCCCTTGAAAATAAGAACAATTTTCCTATTTATGAGCAGCAGTAGGCCGCTAAAGCAGTAGGAAAACCAAGGATTTGGAGCAAGGAACTTAGGGTTTGAATTATAAATCATAATTTGACATTTAAAAAAAATATGGAACGCTTCACAAATTTGCGTGTCATCCTTGCGCAGTGGCCATGCCAACCTTTTCTGTATCGTTCCAATTTAGTATATATGCTGCCGGAGTGAGCACTCATAATTTGCCAATTGTGGAACTATTTCAATCATATAAGCTATTTCCCAGTTCCTTCAATGTAGAATGGGCACAGTAACACTTTCACCAAAGGACTGAGGACTCTGAATGAGGTAACGTATGTGGAAGTACTTTCTAGGGCCTGGCACACAGTGATGCTTGGGAATCGTTAGCCATGTGAAATGGCTGAGGCAAAGTGAACAGGAGCCTTACTTAAAGGGGAGGAGCTTTTCTAGATGTTTAATGTTTCTTTTCTTATCTAAGCATTATATCATCTCCTTTCATGGGTGAGAGGGGAATCCAAACCTGAAGATGGTGTCTGATCTTCCTGGGAGGAGAGGTGGTCTCCTCGACAATAACCATAAGTGAGCGGAGGCGTAGAGATAGGGTGAAGCTCTCTCAGTGTTTGTTGGAGGATGGAAGGATTATAAGCAGAGCCTCCAGGGAGTGAGCCCTGCTCCATGAGGATTAACTTACCACTTCCTGAAGGAGAGCAGTGTCAGGAGACTTTTCTGTGTTAGTTCTTCCCTTTCCCTAGAGCCTGCCTTCTCTGGAGACCGTGATGCCTACTGCCTTTGCTTTCCAGTAAGAGTAGAAAATATTACCTTTTCCAGCCCCAAACTTCTCAGGGACAGCATGAGAACTAATCAGTCCCTAAGCCGACTCAGAGTAACTGCCAACTGTAGGGAAGCAAAATTTGCCATCCCAAAATGTGTCTGGCATGAGCATTATTTTATTTTTAAGAAACAAAAGACTCAGGAAGAACATTAGACCTCTTCTCAAATCACCTCAAGGAATTTAAGATAGGCCTGTTCCTGTCTTAATTTCTGTTGAAGTTCCAGACTCCTGTCTCTTTCTCTCTAGTCCCGAATGACACATAAACCTCTTTTTCCCTTAGTGTCCATGAAATTTTCTTGCTTATGTGAATTCCCCATAAGTAAGTATCAAAACTTGGTTTTCTCCTGTTAATCTGTCTTACATCGTGTTAATTATTCAACCAGCCACAAGAACCAAGAAGGGAAGGGGGAAATTTTCACCTCCTCCACATAACACACGGTGTAGTAGCTCCAATGCAGGAAGGTATTTATTGGACATCTAATGAGTGGTGCCAGTTATGAGTTTTGAGGACAAAGCCTCCTCTGATTTCCTAGAAAGAAGAGATGGGCTGGAAGTATGATGAGACCTCGGGCATGGAGGGCTGTACAGTTACAGCAGGAATCAATCTCTTCCAAGGATCACCTTGGCTTTCTTATAAATCTTTTCCTTTCCTTTCTTGAGGCCCTGTGAGCCTCAAACAGCTCAGGGAACACTTCCCAGGTCCAAGAGAGGGCAGAGCAGGGCATCTGTAGCTCCCCTCCAGCAGGTGCGTCTGGGAGTGGGGCTCTTCACCTTCTTCATTCTCATTTTCTGTCCATTTACCCCCAACTGTGGAAGGAGTTTCATCTCAAAGACTTGTCAGCCCAGTTTATTTCCTTGTTTGAATAGCTTTGATGTTTCCCTCTGTCCACAACATAAATTCAAAAGTGGCAAACCAGGACCCCTGTGATTTAGCCATAACCTATTATTATCATTGCTATTGTTGTTTTCCGTGTTCCTCACCATTTCATGCATATGTCCTTGTGTCATAGCCACCTTATGATACGGGCACATAATGGAAGATGATATATTTTTATTGAGTGAGTAATTTTACCCTCTGAAAAGTTCACAGGAACACTCTGCATTGATGACTGGTGGTGGGAGAGGTAAACCCTGTGGAGTGAGGAACCCAGGGAGATTAATTTACTCACGTGGATGTAGAGAGCTAACTTATGAAATGTCCTCTTTTTCTTTCATTCTTTTTTATTCTTAGCTTCTCCTCTCATTGTCCCTTCATCCCAGATATATTCTCACAGAATTCTCAGAGGTGGTGTTAGTACAGAGGTCATTGGTTCCCTGTCCATATCCCCTCTGTATTTTCTCCTTCTTTTCACTTTCGTGCGACTGCCAGCACCCACATTTATTTTTGTTATTTCCCCCCCCCCCTGACTGGGAAACTGCCTGTTCTTGGTTCCTCCAGGTCAGAATAGCTGGAAAGTTAATGACCTCCCCAGTAGCTCTTAACAATGGACAGATGGGAATTGGGATATCAACATCCCAGCCCCCTTGCCCTTGTAGTAGGATAGCCCTGGACTGTCTGCTTGACCATCCTGGTGTTCTCCACAGGGATTAGCTCCAGTTACCCACAGTGGTGGTTGGCTTGACAATGCACTCCTTGTTGGAAGACTTCCGTTCCTTGTTTCATTCTTCTCTATCAATGTTCCCTTCATTACCCAAATAAACTACTTGCACTGTTCTCAGGATTAACTTCTGTGGAAACCAACAAAGACACAGGGACAGGGACATTATGGCCTAACACTGCTGAAATGAGCAAACTTGTTTCAAGTTCCAACCAGTTAAACTTTTTTTTTTTCCCCAATTAAACTTTTGGACAACTTAAATACTGATTTTGTCAGATGGGTGCTATTTGTTATATATTTTTCCTTTCTTTTTTTTTTTTTAAAAGATACATATATCTATTAAAACTTTGAAGACATTTAACAATCTATTGAAGTCAGAAATATAAATTCTTAATATTAACTCTAGAAACCCGAGAAGTCCCAGAAGTTTAATTTAAAGGCTTTGCAGTGGTTCTCAACCTTCCTAATGCCGCAACCCTTTAATACAGTTCCTCATGTTGTGGTGACCCCCAACCATAAAATTATTTTTGTTGCTACTTCATAACTGTAATTTTGCTACTGTTATGAATCATAATGTAAATATCTGATATGCAGGATGTATTTTCAGGGGTCGCGACCCACAGGTTGAGAAGCGCTGCTTTAGAGAGAATTATTGTAAAAGGTGTTAATATTACATTCTTTGTTAGACTGGCATTTAGAGCACTTTTCATTTCATTTCACTATTTCACACTTGACCCATTGCCACCAGCAGGAGCAGTGACTAGATAAAAGTCTCATAGTTATATTTATCTAAACGTAGCAAATAGCACCAGGTTTCCCATTTAATGGAATGCACTTTTACAATTCTTTGGAGCAATAAGCCTTTAGATTCCCATTTTCCCCACTCAAGCGCCTTTGTCCTAACACCTTTGAGTATTTGTTACCACAGGACTCCTTACAGGAATACAGGTGAAAATGTCTCAGAAGGTGCTTTACTCTGTTCTGTTCTTTCACAGCTCAGATTCATTTGGCTGGTCACAGTTAGGTAGGTAGAAATGGGTTGACAATGTTGGAACTCACGATAATTTTGTCCACAGAACATGGACCAGTAGTCTGCTCCAATAAAATGTCAGTGTGGGTGTAAAGAAGCAACAAAAGCCATCCCAGCCTCCTGGTACCTCCCACCAGGAGCGGTGCTGCCCCCTGAGCCAGTCGCATAGCAAGGCCATCAGGCTCTGGCAGTCCTGGTCAACGTGGACACCCCATTCCTCCAGTTCCACAGTCTCTCCAGCAGGGTACCTGCCAAAGTCACCAGCGCCACCATGAGGTCCCAGCTGAGACTCTGCGGTCTTGGAGTTTTCTCCTACAGTCACCTGCACCACCAGCTCGATGCGATTTCCCTGATGTCTAAGGTAGCAGGACCAGATAAGCTGGTAATGTTACTGTACCTGCGTAGTCACGGATCTCAGCACCACGGCCTTGGAGCAGTCAGGTGGTACAGGACTTGTGGCGCAGTACTCCAGGTATTTGGTCAGCAGCTGCTCAATTCATCCACCAATCCTTGGCCTCTTTTTAATTTCTTTTTTTCAGTTACAGCCTACATTTAATATTTTGCATTAGTTTCAGGTGTATAGCATAGTGGATAAACAAAAATATACTTTACAAAATGACCCTTTCCCTGGCATATTTCCAGTACTTACCTGGCACCATACATAATATTGACTATATTCCTTATGCTGCAATTTACTTCCCCACAACTATTTAAAAAAATTTTTTTAATTGATTTCAGAGATGAAGGGAGAGAGAGAGAGAAACATCAATGATGAGAGAGGATCATTGATTGGCTTCGGCCTGCACACCCCACAGTGGGGATCAAGCCTGCAACCTGTGCATATGCCCTTGACCGGAATTGAACCTGGGACCCTTCAGTCCATAGGCCGATTCCCTGAGCCAAACCAGCCAGGGCCCCATGACTATTTTGTAACTACCAATTAGTACTCCTTTAAAAACTTTTTTATTGAATTTATTGGGGGTGGCATTGGTTAATAAAATTATAAAGGTTTCAGGTGTACAATTCTATAATACATTATCTGTATATTGTATTGTGTTCACCACCACAAGTCAAATCTCCTAACAGTCATATAATGGTACTAGAGGCCTGGTGCACGAAAATTTGTGCACTGGGGAGGGGGTTCCCTCAGCCTGGCCTGCCCCCTCTCACAGTCTGGGAGCCCTCAGGGGATGTCCTACTGACAGGGTTGCGGGAGGCAACCCTGGCCGATCAGGGGAAGGCACTGCCCCCATCAGCCCACAGCTGCTGCCACTGCCTGCCTTCAGCCCTTGCAGCGCTGAGGCTTTGTCTGGAAGGACATTTGACTCTCTGGTCTAATTAGCATATTATGCTTTTATTATTATAGATTTTTAACAGCACTATTCACACTATTTGGAAAGGTGAATTATGAAAGTTTGTAAAACAAAAAACATCAAACAATTTAGCTCTTTAAGAATGTATCTAAATATGTCATCTAAAAAAAATAAATATGTCATCTATACACATTCGTCATATTCTCTCTCCCGCCCCCCCACACTTTTTAGGAGAAACTACAAAACATTTTTGCTTTACCTATTCTGTCTCCTTTCTATTGGTCATACTAGCTGAAAGAGATTAGATTATGGGCGAATTTTCTGTTTTTCTTTATCCTAATTATGAAACTAAACTAGCAGAGCCATTCAGTTTAGTGTTCACCAATGAGTTCTGGGTAAGACCTGAAAATACTTTATTTCCTTATAAAAAAAACAAAATAAACAAAACCTTTTGAGTAGACTTTCATGAATATTTCAGAGTTTCTTACTCCATTCCGCAACTCACTTATGTTGCACAGCAGCCAGTTTTATTTTCCAGTGTCAAAGATATTTTTAAAGTAGAAGTGTACTTTTTTATTTGTAGAATTCTAATGCTTTTACATGTACTTGAAGGAGTGATTTGACATTTATTTATTTATTTTTATTTATTTATTTATTTATTTATTATTGCTTAAAGTATTACAAAGGGTATTACATATGTGTCCTTTTCCCCCCCCGCCCTTGACAATCCCCTGGCCTCCCCTACCCCCCAGTGTCTTATGTCCATTGGTTATGCTTATATGCAAGCATACAAGTCCTTCGGTTGATCTTGATTTGACTTTTAGAAAACTACTTTAGAACACTGAATTTGTCACTTTACTATCATATAAAAAGCCTATTTAGCATAAAAAACAGTCAGATTACTTATATTTATCAAGTGATTAGGAGCTTTCGTTTTTAGTGCCTCATGGTCACTTTTAGAATCAGCTCTTAAACCACAGCAGATCTTTTGTGGTTTATGCCTGACTGAACATGCATTAGCAACTAGTTAATCCATTAGCAACTAGTTAATCAACATTTACTTTGTAACTACCACTCTTCTGGGTTGTGAATGAATATGAAAATTGAAAAAGTAGAGAAATGCGAAGAACTGTAAAAGATTGTCCTCAAACCCAGCTGGTGTGGCTCAGTGATTGAGGGTTGACCAGGAGTCATGGTTCAATTCCTGGTCAGGGCACCTGACTGGGTTGGGGGCTTGATCCCCAGTAGGGGGTGTGCAGGAGGCAGCCAATCAATGATTCTCTCTCATCATTGATGTTTCTATCTCTCTCCCCCTCTCCCTTCCTCTCTGAAATCAATTTACAAAAAAGATTGTCTTCACAGATAAAGCATTTATCTTGGGGAAATTAACATGAATATTTCAGAAGAAAAATATGGAAAAGATTTCATGGATAAGTGATTTCACAGAATTATTTACTGTGTAAGAATTTTGGAGCTCTGAAGGCCATTTACCTTAGGTTAGAAGAAGAGTTATATTCTAAATATAAAGATCTACTCATGATCTGAAACATATTTCATGTAGATCTGTCACTGAAGTAAAATGTGAAAACTTCTCCCCAGCCAGTGTTGCTCAGTGGTTGAGCATCGACCTATGACCTGGGAGATCATGGTTTGATTCCCGGTCAGGACATATGCCTGGGTTGCAGCCTTAATCCCCAGTGGTGGGCATGCAGGAGGCAGCCGATTGATGATTCTCTCTCATCATTGATGTTTTTCTCTCTCTCTCCCTCTCCCTTCCTCTCTGAAATCAATAAAAATATATTTTAAAATGTGAAAACTTCTTCAGTAATATATTTACACATTGTGATATTTTTTTTAATTATTTTTCATATTTTCTCATATATACACACATATATACACATACACACATATATGTATATATATCTGTATTTAAATAAATAAACTGGGTTCTAAGTAGTGATTTGTATTATATTTTGTAGTCCTACTTCCATTCTAGGAGTTTATTGACACTTGTAAGATAAATCAATTTAAATAGAAATGAAATATAAACAATCTGTCAACTCTTTAGGGACATATTAATTCATGGAGCAAATCTGCAACCAAAGTATGTGCCCTGGATTGGGAATCGAACCCATGAGCTTGGAGGGACAGGCCAGCACTCTAACCATTGGGAAACACGGGCCAGGACTGCCATGCTTTCTTGCCTTTTAATACTCCTGGATTTTATCTTTACTGTTCTTTTACTTGCTCCCATAAAAACTTATGATTTCCTTGTTTACAGCACATCTTATTTCATTTACCACTTGTTTATGAGCTCCACAAGGGAAGGAAATGTGTCCTATTCACTTCTGTATATGATTCACTTTCTAGCTCACTGCCTAGCATATTGAATGTGTTCAACTGTTTAAATGAAAAAAATGACAGAGGAGGAAGTTGATACAATAATTATAAAAAAAGTGGCCACTTTCAACCAAGCCGGTTTGGTTCAGTAGATAGAGCGTCGGCCTGCGAACTGAAGAGTCCCAGGTTCTGGTTGAGGCTCATGCAGAAGGCAACGCAATTGATGTGTTTCTCTCATTTTGAGAGAGGGAATGACAGATATTTCTCTCTGTATTTCCTTCTCTCTTCCACTCTCTCTAAAAATCAATGGAAAAATATCCTTGGGTGAAGATTAAAAAAAAAAGGTTACTTTCAATTTCTATACTTTATTTACTCTCATAGGAGGAAGACATTTACTACTTTGTTCCAACAGAACCAAAGAATTTTAGTGAGATGATACCCAGAGGTTATCAGTTTTGTTCTTTTTCATTTTCCATCAATGATTAGTCCTCTTTCTAGTTTCCCAAAGTATCAAAGAATTATGAAGAAATACCTCCCTGGTTCTAATTTTATAGTGAAATACTTAAAAAATTTATTTTTAATGTAAATATTAAATGTTGTTTAAATGTATGTTTAATAGTGATACATGCATATAAAATGAAATTTTAAAAATATAAAGGCATATAAAATGAAAATGCCTCCTTCCCTCTCTGTCTCCAGACACCCAATTCTCTTTTGCAAAAGCATTCAGTTACTAGTTTTTTTCTTATTTAAGAAGCATACAATGTATTTATGAACATAAACATACATATCTACATAATTTTTCTTCACATGAAAGATAGCCCAAGATCTGGAACTCTTTTCATTTACAGTGCACTTTGAGGATATTTTTATATCAACAGACATGTACAGATCTTCGTTTTTTAAAAAATATGTTTTTATTGATTTTTAGAGAGAGAAGGAAGAGGGAGAAAGAGATAGAAACATCAATGATGAGAGAGAATCACTGATCAGCCACCTCCTGCACACCCCCTACTGGGGATGGAGCCCACAACCTGGGCATGTGCCCTGACCAGAAATTGAACCAAGTCGAACCAGCAACCTCTTGGTTCCTGGGTCAGTGCTCTACTGCTGAGCCACACTGGCCAGACCAGATCTTCATTTGTAACAGTGATATAGAATATTCCAATCTATGGATATACAGTAATTTACTTAATCAGTTATTAATTAATGGGAATTTAGATTGTTTTAATATTTTGTTATTAAAAACAGTAGTTAACATTCTTGTACATACACCATTATTCTTATGTGTGAGAATATTACTCAAACAAATACTTAGGAGTGGAATTGCTAAGTCAAAGAGAATGCCCTTTAAATGTTCATGGTTTTAGACAAAATGTCTTCCATAAATGTTGTACCAATTTATGCCCTATGAGCAAAGAATTAGATTTCTGTTTTTCACAACACCATTTGTGATCTTTATAAATTTTTAGGGAAAATATGTACATGTATTATAGTTTTCTTTGTTTTCTCTAATTCTGAATGAAATAGAATGTCTTTTTTCATATATTTGGCATCTTTCCTATTGTGCTGATGTTATTTTCATTATTATTATTTTTAAAATATATTTTCATTGATTTTAGAGAGGAAAGGAGAGGGAGAGAAAGATAGAAACATCAATGATGAGAGAGAATCATTGATGGGCTTCTTTCTGCACGCCCTCTACTGGGAATCGAGCCCACAATTCAGGCATGTGCCCTGATGGCAAATCGAACCGTGACCTCCTGGTTCATAGGTCAACACTCAACCACTGATCCATGCTGGCTGGGTGTTATTTTCATTAATGATCTGAAGATATTTATCCATACTATGCATATTTATCTTTTGTTTATAATTGATGCTACCATGACAGATGTTCTCAAGGATAATGCTATAAGTTCAGCTAGAAAAGACAATTTAATGTTGTTAAAAAAATAATAGGTTTTGCCTTAGGGTTATAACCTTGTGTAATTTGTAAGGGCAAATACACATAAAAAGTTATCTCTGTTGAAAACAGGGGAAGAGACTTTCTTCTCTCCTTTTATTTTATTTTTAAAAATTTTTTAGAACATACTTAAGAAAACGCGTAATTAAGTTCTTTCTTTGTCTTTGAAATACATGTAAAAGCAAAAAAAAAAAACCTCTTGCCAGCTTTATGACTCCAGAATGTCTTTGTCAAGGACGGACCTGGCAAGTCACTTTGAAATGTAATCATCAAGGTAGATAGCACCCTCCAGTGTCCCAGTTTCTGTGGAGGGTAGGAGTCTAACTTTGGTGCCCTAACTTCCAAGTTGCAAAACTACCTTCTGTCCATACAGATGTGTTTATTTTTCCTTTGTATGAGCCAATTACCAGGTGAATCTAGGATTAACTCTGTGTGATAAATGATGCAGTCAAGTCTTTCGAGGACCAGTTATTGTTTATCTTGAGACCATGCATGTAATGGATGTATTTGCCTGGCTAAATAAAAGGATTAGCTTTCTTTCTGTCTTTGCCGTCTCTTAGTAGATTGCCTGTGATGTACATATTCCATTGCTTTCATGCTTATTTAATAATAAAACTATTTTATTCTTTTCTACCCATGTGGAGAGATTTTTCTGGGCTGGCAGGAGATTTGTTTTTAATTATATTTTCCTAACAAACTCAACTCAGTTTTTCAATATATGTTCTATCATTTGTAAAATTAGGGGGATGGAGTACATCTTCGAGATTCCTTATAGTCCTATAAATTCTAGGAAATAAAAAAACACACACAAAAAAACATGAACAATTTTCTTTTTAAAAAATTTCTATTAAATTTATTTCTTTTTATTGAATTTATTGGGGTGACATCAGTTCACAAAGCCATATGGGTTTCAAGTGTCTAACTCAACAAAGCATCATCTGCACACTGCATCATGTGCTCATTGCCCAAAGCAATGAACAATTTTCTGAGTGATGTCAGATAGTCTTTTTTTTAATCAAAGAAATTAAAAACAGATAATGTCCCCCCAAATATTTTAAATCAAGACTCTTACTTTTATGTCCCCAATAATTTCTTTTTCTTTATTTTTATTATTGACACTATTACAGATGTCCCCATTCCTCCCCTTTACCCCTTCCACCTAGCCCCCTCTTCCCTCTTGACATCACCACACTGTTGTCTGTGTCCATGAGTTATGCATATATGTTCTTTGACTAATCACTTCATCTTCTTTCATTAAATCCTCCCAACCTTCCCTCTGACAGCTGTCAGACTGTTCCATGTATCTGTGCCTCTGTTTCTATCCCAAATAATTTCTTTATCGCATATTTCATATCTTTGTTCCTCAAGCTATATATTACAGGGTTAATGAGTGGAGTAACTACAGAATAAAGCAAAGTCATTATCTTCTGCATTCCAGCTTTATGTTCTGATGTTGGGCTTATATACATGACCATCACTGAGCCATAGAAAAGAGAAACCACAGCCAGATGGGATCCACAGGTGGAGAAAGCCTTTCTTCGTCCAGCTGCTGAGGGAACCCTCAACACAGCTTGTAGAACCAGAGAATAGGACACCATGATACAAATAAAGGGAATAAATAAGAGCAGAGAACTTAAGGTGGAGCTAGTTAACTCTATTGCAGGGTATCTGGTACAGGTGAGGGCCAACAGAGGACCTGGGTCACACAGGAAGTGGTCAATGATCCTGGAGCCACAGAAGGACATTTGGGAAATAATAGTGATAGGAATCAAGAACCAGAGGAAGCCAAGTACCCAGCAGCTGACCACAAGATTGGTGCAGAGACGTCCAGTCATAATGGTTGGGTAGTGTAGAGGCTGGCAGATGGCAAGGTATCGATCAAATGCCATAACAGCCAAGAAAAAGCATTCTGTAGAACCCAAGGAGAAGAAAAAATAGAACTGGAGAAAGCATCCAGAGAAGGAGATGACCTTGGTGTCAGAGAGGAAGTTAGCCAACATGTTTGGGACAGTGGAGGTGACATACCAGATCTCCAGGAAGGAGAAGTTGGCGAGCAGGATGTACATGGGGGTGTGCAGTCTCTGATCCCAGTGCACAGCACAGATGATCGAACCATTGCCCATGAGGGTCAGGAGGAAGACAACAGAGAAGAGCACAAAGAGGAGGACCTGCTTCTCTCTGGGGCCAGGGAAGCCCAGGAGGATGAAGCCAGTGATGGTGCTGGAGTTGTTGAAAAATTTCATGGGTCTGTGAGCTGCAAAAAGACCATCAAATCATTGAATGACTGTATATAGATACATGGGGACCCAGGTATGTATTGACGCCACCATGGGGGATGCAATAAACACTTATGTATCAATAGTTACTATTTTTTTTCCAAACCTGAAATACTGTCCTGGTTTATCCAGGGTAGACGAGCACTAATCTGGTCCTGCTGAAATAGGTCTCTGATTGTCTAGGTTGGAAATATGTTGCTGAAAAATCCATATAAACTGTGCATCCTGATGTTATGGATCTAATGTTAAGATACATGTAGCAGAACACTTGTAAAGAAGAGAAAACTTTAAATTTTTTGCTCTCTCTCCTAATCATGTCTTGGGAGCACCTCAAGGCAGAATGACTTTGGATGGTTATACATTTGCATAATGACTTTATGTTTTTCTGAGTAAAAAAAACCCTACCCCAACCTTTGCTAAATAATTCTGTGTCTAGACCTTGGTTTTGGCTATTATAGCATCTGTAAATAGAAACATGAAAAATAACTTATTTTTCCATTATCTTGAATATAACATCAATTAATCAATAATAAGGAAATTTCAAGTGTTGGCATGGTTATCCTAGGAGTCTGCCAGTGGTCTCTTTGGAATATTCAAAAACAGTAAGACCTCCCTGGATAAATGGCAGAAGGTACCAAGGGAGAGCTAGTTGACTATAATGTACTTCTTTGTTTGCTTTTGGAGAGCATGAAAATGTGTGACAGGGGACCAGCAAACTGAATAATATTTTGGAACTTAAAAAATATGTACAAAAGCCTCCCTCTCTGAGCCAGATCTAGTTTTGGATTTTATATTTCTATGACATGGGTGACGCATGTGGCCAATAAAATTTACCATGATCCTGCTAGACTATGTATTAACTTATATTGCCTTGGGTCTTTTAGTGGCTTAGCTGTGGGATGAACTGGTTTTGGTTCTTGTACCATAAACTTACACTTTCTAAATGCCCTTTCCTCTTTTTTCCATTTTAAGGATATGTGACTATGGACTGAGATTAAGTTTCAGATACCAAAGAGTCATCTTTTTTGAAAGTGAACTTAAACCAGACATAAAATATTTAATAAATATTTCCATTATTTTACATTAGTCTCATTCAGGTTGAAAATATTCAGAATATGGTCTTTTCTGAGGCAACCATTTTCCCAAATGCCCCATTTTTTGAATGGGGCTGTTAACAAATGTTGGGGCCACGAGAATACATCAACTGCTAATGAATTGTAGGAGTGACTCAAAAAATTTGCTATAACATGTGAAGGTCACTTATGGACTTTAAATACCATAATGTTAAAAAAGTCCCTTTTAGGCCTATAGGTTTACCACCAACTGAGAGGAAAGTCATTTAGTCTTCAATAGGTCAAAATAATTTGTTACTAATTGTGGTTGGGCATCTTTCTTTTTTAAAAGAATATATTTTTATTGATTTCAGAGAGGAAGGGAGAGGGAGAGAGAGATAGAAACGTCAATGATGAGAGAGAATCATTGATCAGCTGCCTCCTGCATTGTTCATACTGGGGATCAAGCCAGCAACTGGGCATGTTCCCTTGACCGGAATCAACTCTGGGACCCTTCAGTCCTCAGGCTGACATTCTATTCACTGAGCCAAACCAGTGAGGGCTGGTTGGGGCATCTTTAACCAAAGTGTTCTGCAGAGTGTTTCTAAATGGTTATTTTTGTGTGATAATCACTTTGTCCATCATCTCAAAATATTTTTTAGCACTTTGAATAGTTTAGTTAATGTTCAAGGACTTATTTTCCTGCTCTAGCCTATTTTAATGTTACATGTCTTCCTTTCTTTTACCCCTCACATCCAACTCGCCAGCAAGATGCTTTTGTTTCTAAAATATGACATATAATTCACTTCTCTTTGTCTTCACTGTCATCTCCCAAGTTCAAATTATCATCCTTTCTTCCTTGGACTTCTGTGGAAGCATCCTAACAGAGCTCCTCGCCTCTACTTACCTCTGCCTCCTCCATTTCCACACAGCAGCAGAGTATGCCTTAAAAATGAAAAAACAAAACCAACAAAACAAAACCAACTCAAAACAAATGAGAATGTTAGACTTTTGAGTAAAACCATTCCCTCTCAGAACAACTCTGTCAGAAAGTCTTACAAAGCTGTTTAAGAAAACAGGGAGGTATTCTAGAATACAGGAATGGCCATCACCATTTTATGCTCAATCGAATATATTTAACCAGACTGTATTGTTACTCACCTTAGGCTGGTTGAGTCATCCTTCATCCATTGCCGAAGGCTCTGTGCACACAAGTATGAGTCAACTAACAACAATCACCTTTTGATGGTTTACTTGTTAAATTAGTCAATTCCAGAAAGGTTGAGATAGTTTATGTCAGTGTGAGGAAGACATTCCCTGATAATTTAATTTTCCCTCAAAGTTCAGTACAGTAGAAATCTTGGTATGTTCATTTGTTGGCCCTCTCTCCACAGCCAGTCCAGAGATGTTTCATGACAACTCAATTATTTCCTTTAGCTAGTTTGTGAGGGGGCTGCCACATCTGTAACACTGGGAAATCTATTTCTGGAAAATACTTAAAAGTAAAGATAATGTTCAAGTTTGGGATGAGTGGTAGGCAGCTGGATATAATAGAAAAAGCACTGAATTTAGAGTCAAGAGATTTTTTTAAACTAGTTATAGGAAATTAATATTCAGATTTCTAAGCTATAAAATGGGCATAATTATGCCATCTTCAAAGGGCTGTTATAAAGATTACTGAATGAGGTAAATATCTGTGGAAGTATCTTAATAATTGCCTGACCCATGCCTAAGAAATATTGGTTATATGTATATGATCATAGCAACTTCAAAGAGAACTATCAGTAAAGACTAGGAGATTATATTTTTTACTCTGATCATAGCAACTTCAAAGAGAACTATCAGTAAAGACAGATTATATTTTTTACTGGTCTAAACACTACATAACCTTATTACCTGGATCAGCAAAGGAAATTCCAAACTGAAACTTCTCAAAAGTTTCTCTTTTACTTTCATAGAGAGAAGAGAGTCTTCTTGGCAATAATTGGAGAGGAGAAAAGAGGGGAAATGGTTATGATAAGGATCCTAGATTGTGTCTGCTGAAGGAGGGAGGCGTTATAAGCAGAGCCTGCCAGGAAGTAAGCCCTGTTCTTCCTGGTCCTTGAGGATTCCTTTACCGCTTCCTAAAAGGAACAGTGTCAAGAGACATCTCTATGCTTGTTATTTACTTCCCTTGGGGCCTGCCTCAATTTCTGTTTTTTTATTTCTTCTGTTCAAGTTAAAATGATGCATTTTCTTTGCTTTAAACCTCTCACAGATAGAATTAAATACTAGTGTTAACAAATTAATTAATTGATTGTTTGATGAATTAACACACCAGTAAGTCTGTCTGTAACTCCCCTAAGTGCTTACTATATGGTCAATGAAAAATTTTACAAATCTGAAGGGGATAAAAGCAGCTCCAGACGTTCATAACGGACCTGACATTCACAACTAGGCCTCAAAATTATTATAAGCTGGTCTGCCACTCTCAGATAGGTCATGCTGTTCTGTTATTGGACATAATCTCACAAGTAAAATCTCAGTCACGCCCCAGATAACTGTTGATCTTTCTCTCAATTATAGATGAGTTTGTATTTTCTACTGCTTTATATTAATGGTATCGTACCATTTCTACTCTTTTTTTGGGGGGGGCGGTTAGTTGTTTTTTTTTTTAACTCAGTAAAATTATTTTGAGATTTATCCATGTTGTACCATGCTCCTTGCAGTGGAGCAGGATGGAGCTGCAGCGGTCCAGGATCCTCTCTGGGGCCCCCTTCATTACCAGGGGCTCAGCTGTGTTGGGGTTCTTGTGAATGGACAACTGGTACTTGTTGGTGGAGTCAAAGGGTATCTCGATGATTCTGGGGTACCGCTCTCTCATCTCCTTCAAGGACTCACAACACAGCTTGATGCACTTCGAGTACCAACTCGCAGGCTCGCCAGTCACTGCCCACTTCAGGATAGGCAGGTTTTCCTGGCTGGCCTGAAACACAGCTCTATTACAAAGCCCCCAGCAAGGTTTGGAGTCCAGTTTATCACTTTGTTCTTTTATGGATTGTGCTTCTGGTGATGTGTTTAAGAAATCTTTGCCTAAGCCAGAGTCACAAAGATTTTCCCTTATATTTTCTTTTAGATATTTTATAGTTTTAGGTTTTATAACTTACAAACAACTTAAGCTAATTTTTGTGTATTTTGTGAGGTGTTGAAATATTAAAGTTTATTTTTTTTTGATACGAATATTTAACTATTCCAGCACAATTTATTAAAAATGCTCTCCTTTCCACACTGAATTGCTTTTGCATCTTTGTTAAAAATCAGCTTTCCATGTATATGGTGTTATTTCTGAATTCTCTATTTGTACCATTGATCTATTTGTTCAACTCAATGTCAATGCCACATTGTTTTGATCATTAAAATTTTATAATAAGCTTTTAAAAATCAGACAGTGTTACTCCTCCAACTTTGTTTTGTCTAGTCTAAGCTATTTGCATTCCCACATGAATTTAAAAATTAGCTTGGCTTTCAGTCCAAGCTGGTGGCATAGGAAGATCCTGAACTCAGCTCCTTCCAGGAACACATCTAATTTACATCTGCAGACAGAGAATTCCCCTGAAGAAAAACTGAGGGCCAAATGAACAGCTTCTGTACATGAGAGAGAGATGACACAGAAGCAGGTCTCTCTGCAGCCTGCTCTAGCTCCAGATCTAGCCATGTGACTTCCCTCAGCTGTAGTTCTAGCTACAGCTCCTTTCCAGGTGTGGCTTGTCCCCTGTACTTCCTGTAGACCACATCAGCTTCAGGTACAGTCCCAGTGGCTTACTTCTGGGAATCCCTACAAGTCACACCAATCCAGCTTTAACTCCAGGTCCTGCTGTGACTTGCCCCTGGCACTACCTAAGGCCTGAGCCCACTCCATCTACAACTCCAAGTGGCCTGTTAAGCGTGTCCCAGTGCAGCTTGCCCTTGGCCCCTCTCCATTCCAGCTACCACTCCAGGCCCTGGAAAGTTTTGCCCCCAGTGACCCACACATGCTCCAGCTCCATCTTGTCCATCAAAGACACCCAGCACACACAGTCTACAGAGGGGTAGCTCCTACACAAGGTCACTCCTCTGTCTAATTCATAGAAACAAATGTAGAGAGACAGCCAAAATAAGGAGACAGAGAAATATGTCCCACATGAAAGACCAGACAAAAGCCCAGAAAAAGAACTAAATAAAACAAAGACAAGCAATCTATCAGATAAAGAGCTGGTTATAAGGATCTTCAATGAACCTGGGAGAAGCATAGATGAACTCAGTGAGAATTTCAGCAATGTGATAGAAAACATAAAAGAGAACCAGTCAGAAATGACGAATACAATAACTGAAATGAAGAATCCATTAGAGGAAATTAACACCACATTAGATGAAGCAGAGGGTCAAATAGGAGATTTGGAAGACAAGGTAGCAAAAAACACCTACTTGGAACAGAAACAGAAAAAAGAAAAAAAATGAGGATAGTTTAAAGAACCTCTGGGACAAATTCAGGCATACACATTATAGGGGTACCAGAAGGAGAAGAGAGAGAGAAAAAGTGACCAAAAAAATGTACTTAAAGAAGTAATGAATGAAAACTTCCCCAGCCTGGTAAAGGAAACAGACATCCATGTCCAGGAAGTGCAGAGAGCCCCAAATAAGATGAATCTAAAGAGATCCACACCAACACAGATCACAATTAACATATTATAACATCATATTATAGCATAATATAACATCATAATTAAAATGCCAACAGTTAAATCAACAAGGATTTTTTTAAACTTCAAAGTTGGCAACAAACAATCAAATAAACTTAAACTGTATATCAAATAGGTAACAATCATATTAAAGAAAAGTGAAAAAGGACGAGTCCAAGTAAATTTTAGCTACAGTACTTTCACCCCTCTCAGTCTGAAGATAAAAGAACCAAACGAACTCCAAAGAAAACTTTAATTTAGCTAAATAAGTTAGTATGTTTATTGTTAATAGTGGTATGGGTATAGTAATTCTGAAACAAGTTTACGTGCATTATAGAATTGTGCAAAGGAGTAAATATATTTATTTTCTTAGGAGCCAGACTTCTCATGGTGAGAGAAAGGAGCTATAAATATAAAATGGTGAAAGAAAAGAATAATATGAAATGGCTATTTTCCCCAGTTTGTCCACTAAAAGGACGAGCAATGACACCTTAGTAGCTATGAACACACCTAGTGATCTCAGGTTCAAATCACTCTTCATGAAAAAGAAAAGGGGACCTTAGTAGCTCCAGATCTAGCCATGTGACTTCCCTCAGCTGTAGTTCTAACTACAGCTCCTTTCCAGGTGTGGCTTGTCCCCTGGACTTCCTGTAGACCACATCAGCTTCAGGTACAGTCCCAGTGGCTTACTTCTGGGAATCCCTACAAGTCACACCAATCCAGCTTTAGCTCCAGGTCCTGGTGTGACTTGCCCCTGGAACTACCTAAGGCCTGAGCCCACCCCATCTACAACTCCAAGTGGCCTGTTAAGAGTGTCCCAGTGCAGCTTGCCCTTGGCCCCTCTCCATTCCAGCTACCACTCCAGGCCCTGGTAAGGTCTGCCCCCAGTGACCCACGCATGCTCCAGCTCCAGCTGGTCCATCAAAGACACCCAGCACACACAGTCTACAGAGAGGTATCTCCTACACAAGATCACTCCTATGTATAATTCATAGAAACAAATGTAGAGAGACAGCCAAAATAAGGAGACAGAGAAATATGTCCCACATGAAAGACCAGACAAAAGCCCAGAAAAAGAACTGAATAAAACAAAGACAAACAATCTATCAGATAAAGAGCTCACAACACTGGTTATAAGGATTTTCAATGAACTTGGGAGAAACATAGATGAAATCAGTGAGAATTTCAGCAATATGATAGAAAACATAAAAAAGAACCAGTCAGAAATGGCAAATACAATAACTGAAATGAAGAATCCATTAGAGGAAATCAACACCACATTAGATGAAGCAGAGGGTCAAATAAGAGATTTGGAAGACAAGGTAGCAAAAAACACCCACTTGGAACAGGAAACAGAAAAAAGAAAAAAAATGAGGATAGTTTAAAGAACCTCTAGGACAACATCAGGCATACCAACATTCACATTATAGGGGTACCAGAAGGAGAAGAGAGAGAGAAAAAGTGACCAAAAAAATGTACTTAAAGAAGTAATGAATGAAAACTTCCCCAGCCTGGTAAAGGAAACAGACATCCATGTCCAGGAAGTGCAGAGAGCCCCAAATAAGATGAATCTAAAGAGATCCACACCAACACAGATCACAATTAACATATTATAACATCATATTATAGCATAATATAACATCATAATTAAAATGCCAACAGTTAAATCAACAAGGATTTTTTTAAACTTCAAAGTTGGCAACAAACAATCAAATAAACTTAAACTGTATATCAAATAGGTAACAATCATATTAAAGAAAAGTGAAAAAGGACGAGTCCAAGTAAATTTTAGCTACAGTACTTTCACCCCTCTCAGTCTGAAGATAAAAGAACCAAACGAACTCCAAAGAAAACTTTAATTTAGCTAAATAAGTTAGTATGTTTATTGTTAATAGTGGTATGGGTATAGTAATTCTGAAACAAGTTTATGTGCATTATAGAATTGTGCAAAGGAGTAAATATATTTATTTTCTTAGGATCCAGACTTCTCATGGTGAGAGAAAGGAGCTATAAATATAAAATGGTGAAAGAAAAGAATAATATGAAATGGCTATTTTCCCCAGTTTGTCCACTAAAAGGACGAGCAATGACACCTTAGTAGTTATGAACACACCTAGTGATCTCAGGTTCAAATATCACTCTTCATGAAAAAGAAAAGGGGACCTTAGCAAAATGGCTGAGTCCAGGGCTATGTTTGGGATAGTAAGCCTGGACCACCTTGTGATAGAAGTAATAATTTTCTCAAAAAATTACAGTCATAGAAGTTAGCTGAAAGGAGCTTTCCACTGGCCAAATCTGGGGCAATCTGAGCTTCAAAATAAGTAATAATAATAATGAGTTATAACCCATTGAATGAAATCAGAAACCATGGATCCATATTAACAAAAGTAAATAAGTAAAGAAGAAGGAAAGACCCTTACAGTAAAATGTTAAGTAATAAATGCAGAAGGGATGATAGAGTTTAAAAACCACTATCTGGCAATCCTTATAGTAATGTACTGTAAGGATAGTCACATAACTTCAAATAATCTCCCCACAGGTTAGTTGTTAATTACAGATGGGAAAATAGTAATTTACATTAGAGAAAGTTGGAGGACATGTCCAGGATTTGGTGATGGAGCTAATATCACCAATATGGGAACAAGTCACAATCACCTGCCACCTGATAGGATCAATGAGGAGAACATAGCATCACTTTTGCGGTATTCTTGCCAACTATGCATAACCTGACTCTACTGAAGTATCAGATGAACCAAATTGAGGGACATTCTACAAAATAACTGGCCCCATCTTTTCAAAATGTCAAAGCTAAAGGATAAAGAAAGACTAAGAGTGATTCAGATGAAGGAAGGCTAAAGAGACATGACAAACTGAAGTGTAACAGGTGATCTTGGATTAAATGCTATCTCTCAAAAATTCTTACTACACAAGATAAGTAAAACAATGGGTGAAATCTGATTAAAGTCCATGTGTTGGAAAACAAACAAACACAAGCAAAATCAGCTTGCCAAAAGTTCGTTCTATTTTTAGATCTGAGTAAAACTTCATTGCATCTGTATTCCACAACTTTATCCATTTATTCGCGTAGGTTGTTTCCATGTCTTGTCTATTGTAAATAATGCTTCTTCATATTCTTACTAGTATTTGCTATCTCTCTCTCTTTTTTATTTTATTTTACAAAAGCCA